TTCTGCGAGCTTCTGCTTGTTTTTTTAGCCACTGTAAATATACAACGTGCAAGTATTATTTCTGAAGGAAAATTCAAATCCAAAAAAGGATTTTGCTTTCATCTATTCACTCACTCCTATCAAAAGAATTCTATTTGCCACATATTTTGGACAGAGAGAAATACTTAATAATGTCAGAGATTAAAAACTGCCAAGTTTCCCCAAATATTTTATTAATATGTGAGAAGTAAGGTTACTGCATCACTAATACATTTTTGTTTGCTTGTGTGTTTTGGAACTTCCAAAATGACTCTTTGTGTTCATTCAATAGAGCTCAAAAAAGCTTATTGTGAATCCCCCCCCCCTGGGCTCGATGTTTTTGTGGGTGCCCCCCCCCCCCCCCCCCCCAAAAAAGAAAAAAGGAACATGCTGTTTATTAACCTGCACAATCACATGCTTGGTGAAAATAATTTTTATATAAAAGTGTTTCTTTAAGTCTTAATTTAAATAACACTGCCTTCCTTGGAAGAGAAGAATATTGCACAGGTAACATTCTTGTCAACTTACTGAATAAATGCTAAATAATTCACTGCCTTGGAAGACAGCAGAAGCACCATACTAAAACAGAGAGCAAGCCTTACCTCCTCCTCTTCTGCGATGCGAGATTCTCGCAGAGCTGTAGGAAAAACTCGTGATGTAAAGTTGATTTTAATTGTAGCAGCAGATCGAGGAGCTGGTAACTGTTCTTCCTTTAAATTTTCTGAAAACATACTATAGGAACCATGACCTATGAAGAGAATTTGAGTACTGGAAATGAAAAATGAAGCAAAAGGAATTTTTCTGATTTTCTACTAAAGCCAAAGTACACCTAATTTAGAAATTCTGCACATTAGAACTAAACCTCCAATAGCTTGAGAAAGGTTTAGACTTGTTCTTTGGAAAGGAAGGTTCAAAAAAATGTTTGTTCTTGTTGTATCATGCCATCTATTTACTGGCTACACTACCTGTCAAAAATGAACTTAAACTCCTCTTACACCACTGTCACTTCCATGATTCTCTGACAGGGCAACTACAAGAGCTAAAACTAACCTTACCAAAACAAACAAACAAAACATAAATGAAATATTTTCTGTTGTTTTAGTTCCCTGAATTGGCTCGCTGTGGGGCCAAGACGTGGTATAAGAGAGAGTGAAAGGAGATTGCCTATTTCTGTGAAAACCAGCAGTTAGGTAACTTAGGGTAACATGAACTCCACCCTCAGAAAGTCTGCATTACACTGTCTGAAAGGCTTTCTGTTTTACTTTTCTAAAGATTAGAACAAAACCTGTCTTTGTATTTCCAAAGACTTAAACGAGAGCTAAGAACTCACATGCTTTAGCTCAATAGATTGCCTGAACAAAAAGACACTAAAATAACTGCAAACTGAAAGAATTAGTTCAGTATGGTGGAGACAAAGATAAATGATGAATTAGAAACATCTAGGAATAAAGTTATACCCACGCTTTAAAGAATGATAAAATACACTTCAGTAATACAACCTTTAGTAGGTTTGAGTCTGGTCTCAGAAGTTTCTTCATTAGGAATCCTAGTTTTGTTTATTTTTTCCTTTTTCTTCTCCTTTAATTGCTCTACTTCTTGATGTAGTTCCCCTTCTTTTTGTACCCTCTTTTGTTTCTCAGCATCTTTTTGCTGTTTTTTCCATAACGCCAACTCCTTAGTGACCTTCTGCCGCTCCTTTTCTTTCAGATCTTCAATTCTTTTTCTTTCTGCTTCTTCTAGCTGTTTGAATGATAAGCCTATGAGATATGTAACATCTGGTAAAAGTAAGATGACTAAGTAGAAGTTACCATTATTTTCCCAGTTTCATATCCCAAGCATAGCGTCATCATTAATGTGATCGTACAAGCAGAGTTATGAAAGATGCTTAAAAATGATTGGGAGAGTAAAGATTTCTGATTAGCTTTTAAAAGTCATATCTTTTAACGATTTTACTACCACTACTAAGGTATCATCCAGAAACATTCAGAAATAAGTTTTACTTGTAAACAATGAAAATCCTAGCCATATTCCAATGCAGATCTCCGGAATATACAGAAATGTAAAATATATGGCTTCATTTTAATACACTATTTCTTATTTCTCATCTTCTCTTTGAGATTAGTACATAGGCAGAATAGGTACAACGTTGCTACTAAGAAAGTCACTAACTGCGGTTCATTTTGGTCCAAATTGCATATGCGATCTTAAAATTTCATTGTATGCTTTAAAAAATCCTTTTAAACACAAGTGACCAGAAGTTTTATATAGATAAAAATTTTGAAGAAAAGAACGTATCTTAAAATACACATAAAACACAGAACGACAAAGATACACACACACAAAAGGCAATGAACAGCAAGTCTCATATAACAATGAATAAACAAGATTTAAAAAAAAAAATCTGTATTTTTGACAGTGCTAAATGACTAAACCACTTGCACTGATGCAAAGGCCACAAAAAATTACAGTTTTGCCACATTACTGTAGTCTCCTTTCAACTGACGAAAATCCAAGCTCCTCACCAAAAATTTTCATTCGTATTACTAACGGAAAATGGCAACTTCTAAGTATTTTTTCTGTATCATTTTCATATTTGGTAATAGATATGTTTTAAGTACAAAGAAATAACAAGGTTCTCCACCACTGTAATAAAAACGAGTACTTTTCATATTTTTTAAGGTGCATTTAACCAAGCAGCTGTCAGATTAGTTGGTAATTGTTTACATGTATATGTCTTGTAGAGTTCCTTCTAAGCTCACCTTCATTGTGGCCTCCAAAGCATATTTTTTGTGCTCCTGTTTTGTAACTTTTTTTGCTTTGGTCTCCTCTTTTGCCTTTTCATGGGCTTTTAGAACAGCATTCTCTCTTAGATATTGCAGTTTCTCCTTATTAGCTTAAAAAAACAAATAAAAACTATTTTAGTAATTTAGGCCTGAAGTTCTACTGTTATGTACCATATTCAGAAAACAGGATTCCTTTTGCTACTTTGTCTGGGAAAATGCAACATCATTCAGATTCCACAAAGCAGTCTCTATCAAGCCCATCTCTAAAAAAGAAAAACTGAGATTTGCTTAAACACCGAATGGAAGTTTTACAAGCAACATTGTTTTGTTTTGTGCACACTAGAGCCAGTAGATGTTCTTTGTTTTCATATACTTTCTGTTTTTAACAATGAACAACAAGGTTTAACTTAGCAGATATCTAGCAGCAGAAGTTTCGCATTGCTTATTATAGTTTGTAAAGTTTTTGCACGGTGTGATTTTCTTACATGCAACCTACTTTTCACAGTAGAGAACTTACCAGTTGCTAGAGTTAGGGAATCCCACATGGCCACTTCTTTTTTATACAAAGTGAAGAAAATGATTCCATTTCCAATCTTTGCTGTGCTATTTGTGTCATCAATAGGAGCATATAAAATGGCTTCAAATAAAAAGGGAGGGATGCTTACCTATAAAATATAATTTAATTTGTACTAGTATTTACGATTTAATTTTAATTGTCATATATTCAAAATACTCAGTACAAGCATACAGTAAACCTCAAGAAACACATGCTATTGGCAAAACTAATTTGCTTAGTATCCAGTATAGAGGTTACATATTTTATTAGACCAGTTAAAAGAGATTGAAAAAGTTGGTTCTTCAACACTGCAACAGAAGCTGTGGACCTCAAATTTAGAATTATTATTCGTAATATAAGGAGATGTGTATAATTCAGGCCATTTATGAGAGAAGAGGCAGCTGGCACCTATTGAGTAGCAAGAGCATTAGTAACGGAGAAGAACGAACAGTGGTAACGCCATTGTCTCTAGCGGGATAGGTATTTAACGGCCTGCAGCATACAGAGGGAGATTATAAATTAAATATTATAAAAGATTGTAAACTTGACAGCACCGCCACGGTACATTAAGCGTGTGCTTTTTAACAGCGCTCTAAAGTAACGCCAAGCCACAGGCCCACGGACGGCGATACTGCACGACAGAAGGCCCGTGAGACAAGGGAGGGCGCGGTGCGCGGCCGCCCCACCTTCAGGTATTGGTCAGCGCAGCAGATGTTGGCGGGGGGGACCCGAACGCCGCGCAACGGCAGCGAGAGGTACACGGCGGAGCCGGTCTGCCGCCAGCTGTACTCCCGCAGCCACACCGGCATGGCTGCGCCGGGTGCTCCC